AATAATAATAATAATAATAATAATAATAATAATAATAATAAATAATATTATTATAATTAATATTAATATTAATAAAATGATGAAATCATGTGACCAAAATAGAAAATTGAAAGTATTATGCTCTCAAATGTTTCTTCATTTTTCATTTTTTATGTTAATACCAATTGCGGTGCATATTTTTCATTTCTTTTTATTACTGCTCGCAAATTAAATCACTCAACAATTGCATTTTTTTCAAAACTTTTGAAAAATCGCAAAAAAAGCGTTAAAACTTTTTGGGTACATTTTTGTTGTAAGGCAGAAAAAAGCAATTGTCACGAACGATCTTTTTATTCACGCACGCACGCACGCACTTACTTTTTGATAGTATTTTGAAGTAAAAAAAGTGCAAACTTGGTTTTGCTCAAAGCTATTTTGAAAATTTTTACTTTTTTCTCGAAAAATATTTTTTCTTTCTTTTTTTTAAAAAAATGAAAACTTTCTTTGCGTATTTTTCCAAAACAATTAATTGGGCAAAATTAAATTAGTGAAAAATTTTTTAGACAAATTAAAATGAATTAAAAAAGGAAACCTGGCAATCGCGTAAATTTTCTGCACACCAATCAGCCATCTGCAATTATCTTTTACTCATAGTTTTCTTTCAATTTTAATGTCAATATGACGCACGTGAAAATAGATTGTTTTAATTGTTGCAAATTATCAAATTGATTTATTTTTCAGACTAACAAATTATGTAAAGTTTTTCACGTGAGCATATTAATTAATATCTTAGCAGTGAATATGCTATCAAAAAGCTTAGAAACAAAGTTTTTTCAAGGAGAAGAAAACTTTGTCCTTGAAGAAGTTTATTGCTTATTGTTTTTTCTCCTCGAAAACAATTTTGTTTTTAAACTTTTCGATTTTTAAAATGTTTGAAAAACTTGAATTACACACGACAATATATAAATAAAATCAACTAAGAATTCCACAATTTCTACATAAACTGAGCTTGACAGCAGCGTATTATTGTATCTGTGATAGAACGAACATAAATAGTTGTTATCTTTGTGATTTCAAAATTTAAAGTTGATATTTTTCATTTGAAAAAATTTCTTTGTTATGGTTGAATAGATAAAATTCAAACTGTAAAATTTTTCCATCTGATGACAAAAAATGGGTCATCTAACAGTACAAACAGAACTAATCTCACAAACTATTATAAGAAAAATAGTTTAACAAAATGCTTCTTTTTTGTTAATAAAATGAAAAATATTTTTATTAATGAGAATTTGGTACAAAATGAAATAATAATTATTGGATATTATGTTTGACATTAAGTAATTGCAACAGTGAAACTGCTTCAGTTATTATTTGATTTCAAAGTATTAATAATGCAATTTTGCTCCACTTTATCATTCTTATTGTTTATTTTGCTCATTACCTGTTATTTAATTTTTTCTGTTTCTGATATCATTAATACGTTCTTATTCTCAACACATCGAGTTGTGAGATCATAGATTCTAACGTATATTTTCATCAGTTGAGTAAAGTATATCTTTTATAAAAATCAGTTACTCTATAGTTATACTTTAATACTCAGTAAATTCAAAAACGTGTTCAACTTGAATATTTCAATACATATATATAGGCTGAAGGTCTGAAAACTATTTTAAACGATCTGCATTTATTTCCATGATTTTAATAATACATCAAATACTTACCCCAAATAATTCTTTACACTGTTAATCACTTTCACTGATGATAACACTCATCATAATTGAACGTATTTCACTTAGCAATTCTGAGTTTCTTCGTTGTAAGCAATGATTATTGTGTTAAGTTTCTATGCAAATTATTAGCGTACTTACCAAAGTGATAAATAATTATTATTGTTTTTGCAAAATTTTTAATTTGGTAGTTTTCTTTTATGCTTATTCAATTTATAACAATTTATCCAGAGAAATTGATCTTAATATTTGTATGTTACAAAGGCAAAAATATATACATACAATTATAAATTATATTCTTACTTGACTGACAGTTTTTTCAATACAAAATTAATCATAGATTATTTGTAGCAATTCATTTATATATATGTTTATTTGTTCATCTGATTGTTTACCAATTTAATTCATGAATCATTTTTGCACAAAATTGGTCGTGCGTAAAAAGAATATGGATGATATTGTACTTTCTGATTCCATCATGACAGCTTATTTTTGTTTTATAGACACTTTAATTCAATTTAGTTCAGTTTAATTTCATTCTTTTCTTTTTGGATTACTTTCTGAGCTAAATGAGAATCTAATACTTCCGATGCACTAAATAGGTATATAAATTAACTAATTAATTAATTAATTATTTAACAAATAAATAAATTGAAAAAGTGTCGTTATATCTGTCATCGTTTGAATTACAAAATTTTCGTTGAAATGAGACGTAAAATGAGGAATAGAAGAAAAAGTAACTACCACCACTTTTGCTACTACAAGTACCGGTTGGTTCAAGTGAGCAGAGGCGGGGGGTTATTTTAGTTAGTTAGTCAAAGCGGTTATTCAAGAATGTGGTTATTTGAAGGATCAAAAAATGCCATTTAACAACGTTTCTGCGAACTGTATAGTCTTCAGGAACTACTGTCATCGTTATCATCATCATCCATGTCATCATCATTCATCATCACAATTACCATCATCATCACTACCATACTCAACTTCATCATTATCATTATCATTAACGGTAACTATCAAGCAATTAATTTCAACTTGCTGGTACCTTTCGACAATTTTTGGCAATTTTCGAATTCTTTTCATCATATGCTGTCTGATAACTTTTATTACTTCAAAAGATATCGCGCAGCACAGGTAAATTGCATAAATGCTTAAGTCACAACCAAATTATTTTTTTAGATATATAAAGAATTAGTCAAACGGCTATGCTAATATTCTCTAAAATCTTGTAAACTTTTAGTAACACTTTCAATTGTAAGCAATTTTTTAGTAACGAAATATCTTCTCAGCAGTAGTCATCAACATCATTATTACTATTGTAATAACTATTATTGTTATTTCATTATTATTATTACTTTTATTAATTTTATGAATATTATGAATATTATTATTATTATCATTGTTATTATTTAATTTTGAGTGATTTTTATCATTAATTGCATTTGCTACATTTTTATTCCTTAGCAAAAATATTCTAGCAAAGATTTTTTTTGTAGTAAACTAGAATGACTGAAAAATGAATGGTATTTTACAGCATAGGTTAATATTAATTTATTGTTATTTCATTTAAAAAAAGTTTTTGTTCCTTTTTTCCAAGCATGATGGATGAATTCTGAAAATATTATAGGACGCAATCTGTTCCATTTATTTTCCTATGAATATCCAACACGAAACTTTAAATGAACTAAAGTTTTTTAATCTTTATTTATTACTTAACTATTTTAATTATACATTTACTACTCTGATGATAAGTACATTTTCAAATTATCGAAATGGTACTGTGTTATTTACTAATTTTAAGTTCGGATAATTAAATGAAATAGTTGACGATAATTATTCAAAGGTACGTAAGAAAGTCATATCGTTCTAATTGAAGGCAACAAGTTCATTCTTAGCAATCCAATTATAGCAATCCAATTAATTTCTACTCGTTTCTTCAATAGTCACACTTCGCATGCAACTCACTTTTGTCATCAGTATTACTGCGCAGAAAGTATTACGACTAATTCTTGAATATCACAAAAGAAATTTTTTTTCTCACAAATTTTTGCAATATTCTCATGTGTACACAACTTCATTCTTCTTTTTCTATGGAAGCTTAGCCACAGTAAATGGTCTTCTAATAAATGTATACTTACTTCTATCAATGCTTCTAGTTTGCATGATTATAACATAATTTTGAATAAGTAGCGAAAGTTGATTATGTTGCAAATGAAATGATATAATCACATTTGCATGTATTATGAGAATTAGCACTAAAAGTTATGGCCATGAATGAAATAAAATTCGAAATCTAATTAAGCATCAAAACTAGAATAAAAGCTTTTCACTCAATACATAAATAGTGCAATATGAAAGTGTATATAACCATGTGACTAAAAAATACCTAGTTTCATGTGGAATAAATCATTAAACAAATCTTAATATAAACTTGACATTTATTCGAAAAAATTGTTTATTGGTTATTTTTTGTCACCTATTTGAAGAGAAACATACAAATATTGACAAGATTTTTGTTAACAGTAAAATGTAACGAAATTATTAATAAAATATTCATACTTTAAGTCTCAAATCTCATCTATTTTACTAATTATTGAAGTTCTTGATTAATTATATTTATAAGGTTAGTTGTCATGCTAAAGTTGAAAATAAGAAAAGTAAAAAACTAGACCATTTATTCAATTGCAAGCTTTTTCTTCAGAAACTATTTACAAAGTGATTTCAGGCTAGGATGTAATAAATTAGATCATCAAGCTTGTGATGAATTATGCAAGCAAGATTCATTCTGGTATGGACATTGCACGACTTGGGATGGACGTGATTTCTCCTGTACCTGCTATGAATATCATCTACCGCTCAATGGTAGCCTGTGCAATCAGATGCAGAAAGTATGCAAAGACTATTGCTTTCGTCAGGTATGCTATTATTGTCTCATTCGTTTCACTTCAATATTAAATTCTTGAATAACTTTTACAGCAAATTTTCTCCTTTTTTCATACATGTTTGTTCTTGAAAAAAATTTCTACTCTTTTTGATCAAAAATAAAAAAATATTATGACAAAAAATCAAGCAAAACTCAAATTCCCCATATTTACAGTTATATGCATATAAATACAAAAGACATTTTCTAAATACTACACTGCTATCAATCAAAATCAGCTTATTAAATCCATGAAGTTTCTAATGCTAATATTATTAAGCATAAAATACTTACAGTTTACAAAAAAAATTTGCTAATAAAGTCAAATCATACAAATGCTATTACATTTTTAAGGATTTTCAAAAATTATACATCTACCATCAAATTTATACAATAATCACCAGATGTCATGAAATGTGCTTACAAATGATCGTTGTCATATTATTCAACTTATGAACAAGTCAAATTTTTACAATAAATAACAAAAAATGAATCTAAAATTGATGTCTTATTTGCTTACAATGTTTCATTAAATTTATTCATTGCATTTCGTGAAGCAAAAATTTGGTGAAAATTGAAAATCTTAAATGCTTCAGAATATTAACAAGCAGGATTAAAAATTACCGTAAAACATCATATATTTTATGGCTCTATTGATTTCTAACAAATCTTTAAACTGAAAAGCATCTCATCAAATTTATTACACTTGAGATAAAAAATAATACATGAATTTATCAACGCATTATTTTTTACAATACCTTCACAACAATACTAGTTGCTCTCAAAATTTTTCATTTTCCTCTTAACATTTCAAGCACCAATAATTATTATTTGTTTACAAGATTAAAAATATTTATTCTAATTCAATTTTAATTCTATACTAAGTGAAGAAAGTTAGAAAATAAATGGATTTACAAATAGGAATGAATTTACAGCTCATTGATGAATTATATAATAATTGGAATGAACACTCTTTTGCAGGAATTAATCAACATGAGATACCATTACTCAAATGTAACCAAGCATATATTTTCAAATACATATGTTATACTTAATAATAAAGCATTTTGACTACGTTACTGAAATAAACATAAGTTTCTCAAGCAGACATCAATATTCGTCCTAGTATGAATATTTTTTTACTTTCTCTTAAAAATGTTCTGTCTGCATATTAAAAACACATCAAATATAAAATTAAGGAAGTGTCTCTACAGGAAAAGTAAATAATTAATCAGCCAAATATAAGTATTTCAGCAACCTTCAAATCATTTGAAAGTAGAAAGTAGTAAACAAAGTAACCCACACTATTTTTGCATATCACTTGAACAATAAAATGTGAACAATAACCGATTACCGACTGTGCGTATCTACACGGATGGTTCTTCTCTATTTCAATTCACATCAAAATTATTACAACACGCAGAAGAAAACAGTACAAGTGCTATGTTCATTCCCTTTTACTGCTACACTGCACAACAAATTGTCTTAGCCTACTTCACTAACTTCATCCTATCTAATTTTAAACACTAAATTTTCAAAACTTCGCTACCCCATTACTCACTCTTCTTCCAGAAATTAACAAACCCAATGCATCTATTACTTACTCTTACCTTGCAAGTTGAACAAATACATACGGTTCAAACTGAATAAAGCACGTTACACGACCAATACTATCCAAAAAAAAAAAAAAAAAAAAACATATCGTCTACAGATTATCCAACTTTCCATCATTTCTTGAATATATTATTTCAATTAAGATTAATTGTATTCTTGTAATAGTTAATGCACAACACACTCTGTATTACAAAAGTGTGCCATGTTGACAGTTTTAGCTTACCAGATTTTTTTTGTTACATATGGCTTCAGTAAAGCTTTGGAACATGACAATTATAATCTAAACTTTGTGTGATACTTCAATAATGACATAATTATCACTAACATATATGCTGTCTCCATTACTCAGAAATCTATGGTAATCATATACTTTAGAAGTTAAATTGTAACACGAGTTAAATTTATCGTGGAGTCATGGCCATGTATAATTCAAATAATTACATGGAAAAAACCTTTCATCAATATTTCCATCAACATTCTAGCAGAATGTATATTAAATATTTGAAGAAAACGTGGATTAAATTTTAAATGATTTAATATATAATGAACAAAAT